AAAAAAGTAACTTGATTTCTAGCTGCAGTAAACATCCAGCCCCTGACTAGGTGACTTTTAAGCCATTCAACCTTTCTGAGCCTTAAGTTTCCTCACCAGTCAATGAATGATAATAAAAAAATAACAACAGTATTTCCTTATAAGTTTTTAAAAAGCATTAGTTAAGGTATGTAAAAAGTTTGTGTATGCCTGGCGTATATTTAGCGAGCCATGAAAAGGTATATAACATAACATTGCTAATACTATCATCCATGGCTGCATCAGAATTTTTAATAGTCAATGAATTTTAAGAACATTTGATTTATAATCCTAGATGGGTGACCCTAAGCCACACTCTTTTTTTCTTAAGTTGACAATTACCCAAGGATAGTAGACTCACCCCTAACTATACTCACATACCCCTCAAATAATCCTGTTCCCAGAGCAGTAGCATTAACTAACTCTTTGTTACAAGCTCAGCATATTGGCCAGAGGTCTGAGCAGTTACAGCTCAACAGTGGACACTTTCATGTCCCTTGGACCCCAAGCCCATGTTTTCTTGAAATATGTTAGCCAAGAAATAGCCAAGCAATGTTTCCCAAGTATCTTCCACCCACAGAATGCTCTGCCTCCTGTCAGTGTTTGTACTTAGAGTCGTTAGAGGAAACGTGGGCTGGACAAAATTCCACAGAATTCTTTACAGCAGGACTTTGGGGGTCTTTAACATGCAAGTGAGCCCCGCGAATCCACAGCCAGAATATAATAAACAAATATTGCAATTTAGGAGGTTGGGGAGATAGCTCAGTAGGTAAAACAACTTGTGTGAAAACATGACAATCTATGTTCAGATCCCCAGAACTCACAAGCCAGACACATACTTTGTTTAGTGGCAGATGGGAGGTGAATTCTAGGAGAATCTGTAGATGTTTGCAAGCCAGCTACCTGGCGTATATGGCTGTGAACAAGAGGGAGACCATGTCTCAAGTGGAAGGTGAAGACACACTAAAGATCTCTGACCTCCAGTATGTACCATGGCATGCATGTGCCCTCCCCTCCTTCTCCTCCCCACCTCCCCACACACAATTGCAATACAGAGTTGGTCAAGGAATTATCACTAGGATCACAAGACCAGATTGAGAAGTGCTGGTCAGAGAAGCTGAGAGTCAGGCAGGGCCTGGGACAGCTGGTGGCAAGCTTGGGGAGTGTAAGAACCGGGCTGAGTCCCCTCTCCTCCCTCAGGGCAGCTGGCGGGGCATGTCAGGAGTCTCCAGCTCAGGCCTCTCCTTCTAGTTTGCTCCATCACCCCTGACCCCATCACTAGGAACAAATAATTCTTCCAAATGAAGGAAACAAAAGGGCAAGATCCCTCCTTGGAAACCCCATCCCCAAAGCCAAGAAAGCATTTTTTCACGTCAAATACAAGGCCAAGCCAGGGTTAAAGATGAGGCCCCAAGCAGGGGCTCAGCGGGAGCGGGTTCACGCTCTTCTGTCTTACTACAAGGTCTCATTAGATTTTTTTTTTTTTAAGTAAGCAAATAAACATGGACTTTGAAGCCACAGAACAGAACTGTACACCATGGACCCAACAGAAGAGGCAGAACATTCCTAGCCAAGAGCAAAGCTATCTTATTTCAAACAAAGGAAATAAACCTCTCATGTGGAGGGAGCTGACAGTCTCAATGGGGGTCAGGGGGCCCAGGATAGAGGACAAGCTCCAACATGTCAGGCCACGCTGAGACTGGTTTCTTATCCATAAAGAACTGGGGAGACAGCTCCAGAGGCCTCAGGAAGCACTCAACATTAGTTCAACAAACACCTTCTAAAGGCTGACTGCATGCCAGGCATGCCCCAGGGTGGGGCCCAGAAGCCAATACAAGACAGCCATGCACATGTGTGTGGATAGATATATATGATTGATCATCCTCAGTCTCTGGCACACAGCTTCCAAATCTTTAGAGTTTCTGGCAGGCCAGGACCAGCCCCTTTCAACCACACCTGAGTTTATGCTAAAGAAGTAACCCATAGTTGGGACACTAGGGGGGCTTCAGAACAGGGGTTGGACCCCCAAAAGACCAAGCCTTGGTTAGAAGCCTAAACTTTCAGAAGGATGAGGAGCTGCAGACTAAATCCTTGATGGCCAATGATACAATGACTTTTGTCTACATAGTGGGACTTCCAGCCAAACTCAAAACCATGAGGATCTGAGAGCTTCAGGGCTGGTGAGCACATGAAACAGAGGAGGGTGAAGGCAGGGAGCCCTGAATGCCCCCATCTCCCTGTCCTGACTGGCCATTCTTGGGCTGGCCACTCCTGAGCCACATCCTGAGAAACTGCTGATTGAGACTTCAGGGACTTCCTGAAACTGCTCAGGAAGCTGTGGGAACCTGTGTCACCGTGGGCAGTTCAAACAAAGGCACGGGTGCCCTGGGAACCCAGTACTTGTCACTGCTATCTGAATGGAGCAGACTCTTGGAACCGAGCCCTCAAACTCCAGGAATTTGCTATCAATTTGAATGACAGTACCCCAGATTGGCTTCAGAGAGTTGGAGAATTTGTTGGTGTTGCATGAAAACATTTGAGGAGGGGGGCAGTGAATAATTTTTCTTCTTTGAGAAAAATTATAATATTGTCTTATATTTGCAAGTTTTACCAAACCCACACAGCCACTGTACTACATGTGAAATGTATCTCAATAAAGTTGATTATGACCAGGCGATAAGATTGCTGGTGCCCTTGTAAGAACAGAGCGTGGGGTTTCCGAGCCCCCAGACAAGCCCTTCCCTGAATGGACAAGGGTAGTGCAGAGAGGAACATGCAGGAGTTTGTAGGGCAAAGGCTGTAAGGAAGTCACAAGTGTGTAAGGTACTCTCAGGTGCCAATAAGGACAGGAAGAAAACACAATGACCCCAAACACTGAAACCATGGAAAGCCGCTGTTGGGTACTGCAGTACAGGGGAATGGATAACTAACTGCTGGCCTTTCGGGCTGTCCCTGCCTTGTAGGACATGGTGGTGGGGTGTTCAGCAGTATCCCTGGCCTCCCCTACTAGATGCAAGCAGAACCCGTCCCCAGAGATAGAACAACCCAAACCATCCAGACATCATCAGTTGTCCAGGGATCAACAAGGGAAGGGTCCCTTGGGGAGCACAATCACCCTGACTGTTTTAGAGGAAGGAACTCAATGCACTGAGTGGTCAGAGAGGAGCTAACTTCAGAGCTGCCATTTGAGGACAGAAGGAAGTCCCACTTGGACATAGGGGAGGAAACCCTGTGGAATTAAAGCCCCTGAGAGTTAGCTACCTGTGGTCAGATCCTTGGGGACTCGTCTTGGCAGCAACTAGGGGCAGCAACTAGATGGGGGAGAAGTAAGGACTAGATTCCACAGGGCCTTGAAGGCCAGAGTAGGAGAAAGACTGGGCCAAGGGCAGAAAGGGAGACATGCTACATGTTCGTTCCCAAGACCCTTTGTGAGCTGTGTAGCTATTAAATAACACGACTCAATGAAGAAAAATCAGACTTCTGTGACTACACTAGAAAGAAAATTGACTGCTCTCACGTTCCACAACTGGCCTTTCCCATATGCCACAGGTGACCCCAGGAACAGTCACTCAGAAACTTAACACTCATGTGCTCTTCCTTCAGAAACAAGCAATGCATGCCGCCTGCACTCCAGCTGGTGGGAACACCCGCGCTTGGTGCCGGCAAGCTCAGATTAGACAGGACCCTTGGCTCTCCCGCTCATGTAGTAAACCAAAGTAGTCAGGGATACATTTCAGTCCAATCATTTCCCAGCCAGGGCTCCACACTGTGCCCTGTGGATGCAGACCATAACTGTGGGAACCCAGTGCCACTGTGAGATCAGATAACTGATCCCCAAATAGAAAGTATTCAATTACCCTGCCTTTGCTTGGATGCCCCCTATTAACCTATGTACCCCAGGCATCATTAGCAAGCCATTTATAACAAAATTGTAATTGAGAGATCCAGAAATACCACTTTAGATTAAGTAATTGAATGCCCCCCTCAGTGGAAGATCAATAAAGGGCATCCAATTTCACCCTAGGAA